GCTTCGAGGCGGCCATGACGAACGTGCCGTGCTACCGCCGCGCCACCAGCCCCGCGCCACGGCCCGCGGGCAGCGCGCGAGGACGCGGGGAAGGGGAAAGCCCGCGGGAGAGCACGTTAGGCAGGGAGAGCGCTGCGGAGAAAGGCCAGAGGTCACCGGAAGCCCGCGGCACGCCGGGACAGAGCTGCCCGTCAGGCCCCGCCCCTCTCCGCGGCGGGGCGAGTCACTTCCGGGTCACGGGAGCCGGCCGCGGTGGGCTGGGCGGTCGCGGCTGGCCTGTGCTTGTGCCTTGCGGCTGTTGGTGCTAATCGCTAGCGGGGCCTTGGCGCCCCCGCGGCACCCGCTGTCGTCGTTTCCGCTCAGGACGGGAGGACGGAGGGCTGGCTGGCTGGCGGGGCGGAGGGCGGGCGCGGAGGGGCGGCGCGCCGGGCCGGCGGGAGCGGCGGAGGGTGGTTCCGGTTATGGCCGGCGGGGTGGCGGCCGCGCGGGTGGGTTGCAGACAGCGTTTCCGGTTCCCGCCCCCTTGTGCAAATTGGCCTGGGGCTTTGGCTTTCTGCGCTTCGTGTGTCAGAAAGGACTGAGCATGGCCTGCGCTATCACCTGCCTTCCTGTCTGACGCACGCCCAGATGTACTTGGGGCGAAGCTGGGGCGAGGAGCGCAGCAGGACCGGGCGGACTCAGTGCAAGCGGCAGAAGCTAGTTGGGTTTCGGTGAAGGACTTGAACCGGATGCCCGCAGCTCTCCGTCTGCGCCAGTTTTGAAGGTGTCTGTGTCGTTAGGAGGTTCTGGGACTCCGTGGTCTAAAACAGGGCGCTTCGGCGTTCCTGCCTGCAGCTTCGCTTCACGTACTCGTGTGCGGAGCTGGATTCCACCTTGCGGGCTGCTCCAGCCAGAACGCTTGCCCTAGCGTTCTGATCCGCCCACCACAGTGCTTGTTTTGCAGAATTTGTCTTCAGCTAACGTCACTGTAATCTGAAACTATATACTTATAATTTATAGGTTTGATATTTCCAATAGCTTGTCAAACAGGTCTTTCCCATGCCCTGTACCAGATCTCTTAAAATACGAAACTTACCCTTGCAAAGTACTTGGAATTCACAGTGTGCTCAAGAAAGGACAAGTGTGCACAATGACAAGAAGATGAGAATACAAAACTGTGGCTCTGTATTTCACATATGTTGGTTTGCAGACACATATTAAAAATTTATAAAGGATTGTTTTGCTTTTAAATTCAATAGGGTTTTCAGAATCATAGTACCACTACATGGATATGGAAAGGAGATAATTTATTAGTGGCACCGAGTGGACTGATTAAAATAGAATGGACTCATTCGAACAAGTTTCACTACTAGTAAATTGCTTTCAGGAAATAGAGTTGCTTAGCCATGAAGTGGACGGTAGCAGCAGAATTGAACTGATGAAATAGTGATTGTTGCACCCAATCACTTTCTCTCCTCTGTGCCTTAAATAAACCCTGAAAGATGTGTCTTGCCCCTTATCATCTTGGCTTTCCCTTTTGAGAATAGAAAATTAGGGTTTTTTCCTGAAATTTCATTTTGTCTGTGGCGTTATGCAGGACTACATGGTGTTAGTAATTCTCTACTACCGGTGGAATCTAACACGTTTGAAAATTTAGAAACGTTTTGCTTGTTTATTGGAATAGGCAATAGATTATTATAGTTCAAGTCCAAAAGCTGCACAGGATTTTCTGAAGTGTTTCCTTCCCGTACCTGTCTCCAGTCACATAGTTCCCCTCTAGTGGCAATGAATGTTCGTCTCTTGAAACATCTGTTGTGTTAACAAGTATTTTCTAAAGGGTTAATTTTGTTTGGTTTGGTTTGGTTTTTAGGATTGGCATTTATAAATTAATTCAATCTTGTTGCTTTTATATTTTAAAAAAAATCTCATCGCATTCCCTAACTTTTTTGTCTCTTTTCTCCCATTTTCTTTTTCATTTCCTAATTCATTGTATTGTAGCACTGAAATGAGAAAGTCACTTCTGGTTTTATGATCTGACTGATCTGACGCATACATTTCTAAGTTGTGAGGTGGTGAAAACACACTTCTCACTTTAGAGTATAGATGAGGTAATACTCAAAGTTCTTTGCTGTTTGTTAACAAGATAATAGGCCATCGATGCTTAGTTTTTTTATTTTTCTAAATATTAAAGGAGAAAGGTAAAACAACTATGTTTCTAAGAATGAGAGTTTGGTATATATGAATATTTTCTTCAGAGATTAATGAAAATCAAAAGAAGCAACTTTCTCTACCTCTTGTTTGATGTGTATTTTAGGAGGCAATTCAATGAGCAAAAACTCTTTGGGCTGAGATTGGGAAGACTAGAGCTCTTAGTCTAGATTTTAATCACTGAGGTTGGTATATCATTGAGGGTAACTCTTTTCTATATATGTAATGTGAGAAGTATGTTAGGTGATTTCTAAGGCTTCTTATTACTTTCGAATTGTATAATTCTGCCTCCTTAATCCTGATTGCTGCATGAGGCGTTCAGATTGATGGAGTTGGTAGACAGTTCATTGATTGTGACTAGACCTTCCAATGAGTCCACAAACATGCTGTTACTAAGAACATATATACACAGCTTTAGTTCAATTGTTTTATGTTTTCATTCTGTTTCTCTTAATTGAAGAATTACTGGAAAGAGTTATCTATACCTGTTACCGCTACTAATTTATTGCCCGTTTACATTCATAATCTATTGTAACCTATTGTAATTAGTCTGAAACTGCCTTGGAAGTCACTAAATTCATTGCTGTTTTGGTCTTCCATACACTTTTATGTGATACTATTTTCCTAAAAATGTTTTCTTGGCTTTCAGGAGATTAGATTCTTTTGATTCATCTACTGCGTAGCAAGTCTCTAGATTGGTGCTTTCCAATAGGACTTCTTGTGATGTTAGAAGTATTTTATATGTATAATGTCCAGTCCGTAGCATGGTGTGGTCACTGCTCCCACCTCTGTAATTGCATTTGCTTCTAATGGATCTACTTTGTTTGTGCTTTGTATCTCACTTCTTTTATATTGAAGCTCTGTTATTCTCTGAGTCCTCATACTGTTAATTTTTCCCCCAATCCTGATAGTTTCTTATTCAACTTCCCTCAACGCATCAGTTGAGTGGGTGGTACTGCTTTGCTTCTCTGGGGAATGTCATGTCATGATTCAATCAAATGGCTGTTCTTTTTGCTGTCAGAAGAAGCCTCTGCATTTATCTTCAGGGAACAATATATAGTAACTCTAGTTCATTTTTTCACGGTGACTGATAGCTCATATATATATATTTTATGCACCCTTTTGCTACCTTTCTGCCCACTCACATAGATTTATAAGCTTTTCCATTCTCATCAACTTGCTGCCCACAAGATTTATGTCATTTTCAAATGTAGAAATGTCACCTTGCATTTTGATTTATAAGGGTATTGCATACATAACGATATGCTCATTGTGCTTTGCTCAGGAATAACGGGAAGAGTGGGGATTAAGAGCCAACCTGCACTTTGCTCATTATAGTCTAACGGGATTTGCCTAGAACAAAGGTACTTGTTTTTCTTATTTGCATAAAGATGTTTGCTATTCCATCCCTAAGTGTTGGGCTTAGCGTCTGTTCAAAAAGGACACCATTTTCTGTCTCGTAATAGACTGGTTGTCCTGGTTGTGCAGTCCTGATCTGTGCCTTAGTCTCGGTTTGACCATGAGAACTGCTCGGATTTGCTCTCCTGTCTTTACTTTATTGTTATTTTTATCTTATGGAAAAAAGGTGTGTCTTGGTTACTTTTTTCTCGCTGCTGGGACAAAATACCTGGCGCCCAAAATTAAGGAAGGAAAGGTTTATTTCGCTTACAGTTCGTGGAAGTTTCAATTCGTACTTGGCAATTATAAGGCAGAGTGGCACGTGTTAGAGGGCTGCATCTCAGGGCAGCAGCCACAGCTCAGCTACAACTCGCACACCAGAGTGGAATCTCAGAGGAATGGCCCAAGCACTCTTTTCCTGTCCCTTACGTATGCAAACTATCCACCCCAGGGTGGGTGTAGCTCTCACACCCACATTCATTCAACTCTAATAGCCTGCCCATGGGCCGCAGGAGGCTTTGGGGGGACACACAGACAAAAACCATAACAAGGTGAAACGGAATTTCATACCAAGATAATAGGAGAATAACAATAGTTAATACACTGCATGTTATTATCTTTAAAGTAGTTGCTCAGAGTACAAGAAATGGGCATGAAAAATTCTCCAATTGATACAAGCGCAAACCTTCCTTTTCTATGAAGAGGCACTATTAGTATAAGTAACTTGCATTTTTTTCTCTTTTCCCTTCCTATCCCCTTTCCCCCATCCTTGTTCCTTTTTAACAATTTCTTCCCATTTCACATTGTCTCTTGTACATTTAGGACCTTAGATGCATTCATTTAGCTAGAAATGTCTTGAGCTTATCCTTCTTTATGGCAAAGTAGTACTCCATTGTAGAAAAGCAGTGTACATTTTCTTTATCCATTCACCTGTTACTG